AATTGATAAGTAACAGTACTTAAAATGTGTAAATGTATAAATATTGAATGAGATGAGACTCCATCGGTTTGAACCCCTTAGCTTATAAAAATTCTTACAAAACAATAAGCCTTCACATGACAGCAATAACTATTTTTTAACATATTATGGCTCTATCTGATCCAGGATAGTAATTTGATATAAAAATTTGCTGAGCTAAATTGATGATCGACATGTATATTTTTCGGATCCCTCCCCATGCAAGGGCCGTAGCTACAGTGAATGCTCAGTCAGTAAGGACGTGACACTTGGCGGTAGGACTGCGGCCGCCACCTCACTATATATTTCTGTTTCCTCATTTCTGACCGCCATCGTATTACACGAATAGGGGACAACCTCCTGAGTGATTGGCCATGTTAAAAAAAAAAAATATAAATATGTAAAGACTCATATGAGAAGTAAGTAACTTATAAAAGGAGATCTAATTTAAAATAAATATAAAAGACGAAGTGGTAACGAACATAGTGGTCTATTTATAACGATTTAAGTTGTTATTAATTCGAAGAAAAGGGCCGTTGAAAGGCATTGATTTATGGATAGTGATACATTCATTACGATATCTCAAATCGAAAACAAATAGCTGTTGAACTCCAGGCAAACTTCAATATCGACTGCCATGGCAAATATCTATGCTGCCAAGCTTTGATATTAGCGGAAGTCAAAGAGCTCGGGCGAGCTTCTCTAAAGCAAACTGCTGCAATACGTGAACAAAGTGATTTTTTAATATGGCAATGCTCGGCCACAATATTGTACGACGTGTCAAGAAAGAAAGCTAGAAACATTATCTTGGAGGCTTGAATTTTTTTTATATTTTTTTATTTTATAAGATGTGTAGTAAACAAGATTTCAAAATGTAATCTTCTAGCCATCACTGAAGATTGCAAACCTACCGACATCATTAATACATTTGTAATAGTCTAGGATAGCATGAGTTTCTGAGCGCGAAGCCACTTTCGTTCATTGCATCTCTGGTGTTGATGTTACAAAATTTGAATTTGAAAACAAGTAAGAAAAGTTATAGTCGCGCAAACTCGACAACTATCATTTATTTCACCATGAAATATTGAAAATTAATTTTACCATACAAAGATTCATTTCGTAGGAAGAGTTATGTGTGGGCGGGTTCAAAAAATTGCTTCAGCCGAACCGAATTTTTCATACCGAATTTAGATTGTCGAAATGCCATTATTCAGCGACTTTGTCAAGAAATTTTGAAAATTGCAAATTGAAAATAAGGCATGTGTTGTAAATGGGGACAAGATCGATCGGAGTCATTTTCAAAATCGTTCATAGTTGGCACGAAGCAAGTTGGTGTATCAAATTTCATCAATGCATCTTAAAAATTGCGACATATCAATGGAAAATTTAAAAATAAGTCTTTATCCGCCTACAAACGCGGTTACAATAAGACGCTGAATAGTAAGTAGAGGCCTTCCTAAGAGAAGCAGGATCTATTGTTCTAAAGTTTGTTTTGAAGTAATTTTAAAGGATGAGGGCAAGAAATAGTTGAACGTTTCCAGCATTCAAAATTCTCCGACCATTTTCTTTCTCTTATCGAGATTTTCTTTAAGGCGTACGAATAGATTTCATTTGAATTTACAATAAACTTTGTTGCAAACTGGGATTAATTAATTAATTATTTATTTATAGTTCAACTCATTTACGCTTACAATAAAGAACTTCAAAATATTGAAAAAAAGAAAAATGTATTGAAAGCAAGTAACAATTACGAAGCGCAACGCCGACCACTAAATACCCTACAATACTTCGCTTAGCGCAGTTATTCACTCGTTTTGGTAATAAGAATCCAAAAAGTGTCCATTATTTTCATGCAAAGCCACAACTACTATGAAAGCCCGAATATTGGAACATTAGACTTTCTCTCCATATGAGAGTTTACTTTTTGCAATACGGCCTATATATGTTAAGGTCCAAAAACGTAGGTGGATGTGATCCAAATCCAGCACTGAAATTTTTTTTACTCAGTCGCTATTATGAATTAATTTTCATCATAAATCATTAAAGATTAAGCTTTTCTCCGAACTTACTGATATATCTTATACGCGGTGAGTCCAAGAAATAGAACCATGTGGTTCAAATTAGGTCCACTTTATTTTTATATTCAATTATTATCGTAAACAAATTTTCTTCATAAAAAAATTAGCAATTAGACTTCTTTAGCCTATAAGGCTATATCTTTATATGCAAAGGTATCCGAAAAGAAGACCCTCGCTGTCCAAACTCGGTGAGATAGATTTCATTGTCAATTTACTATTTTGAGCTAAGTTTTATGATAAAATATTGGAAATTCGATCATTTTACCGTATAAAGCTCTCTTTTTCGTTGAAACGGTTATATGAGAGCGTATTCAAAAAATTGCCCCAGTCGCTCCAAACTATTCACACCAATTTGAAATCCCGAAATACTACGAAGAATGTGGTAGAAGAAGTTAACCGATCCGAATCATTTTCAATGGCGTTCGTCCCTGCCCCGAGGTACGTCTTTGTACCCAACTTCATCAAAATATCTCAAAAATTTCCACCTGCACTTTGAACCCAAAAATACATGGACAGACATCGGACGGACAGGCGGACAGGCGGACAGGCTTAGGTAGATTTAGAAAATGATTTCGAGTCGATCACTATAATAAAAAGTGTCTACCTTAAGCACTTCTGGGTGTTACATACGTTCCCAATAACATAATATACCCGGTACCGCGAGTGGTGTAGAGTATAAAAATATAAAGAATATTTTATACCGTTACTGTAACAAAGACAAAAAGAAAGAAAAAGAACTATATTTTCATAACATTGGTTGGACATGAATGATGCTTTCTACTTTTTATGCTTGAAATTTTTATGGTGTACGTGTTGTAGTTTATGAGTAACGAGCAAAAAACACGGAAAGTAAAACTGTTTTCGGTTGTCGTTGCGTAGACGTATGGGTGTGCCCTTTCACTAGCTTTAGGCGATGCAACTGGGCATACGGACACGCTTAGGTGTATTTCGAATTTAAGATTTTGAAGTTACTTCTGAGCGTTATAAAGACATTGAGAAAAAAATTAAATGTTTATACACTATAACAAAGGATAGGCTTGGCCAACTTTTTACTTTCTTACCTAAGTACTAGAGCATCGCCCAAAGAATATCTGTTTAAATTCTTGTAGATTTAACTGCTATAGCTTAGGAGTAATGAACAAAAAACCCCATTTGCTATTCGTATTGAAAAACAAAAGTGCATTCAGTTTACGTGACACTGTGGGCGTATAGTTCGAACGGTTTGGCCCACATTAAATACCAACTACCATGAAAAAGCTTCCAATATTTCTGTCAAATTTGAAATATTTGCGACCAACAGACATTATGCAGACGAAGAGGGAGAAAGAGAGAGAGAGAGGTAGTGAGACGGACATGCTTAAATCGACACATACACGTATCGCTCATCGTGCTGTGGTGCATATGAAACTTATATAATTTATTTCGATTTTAATTGTTTATGTGTGCCTCTGTATGTGTGTGTGTGTGTATTTGTGTAAATTAAATAAATTCCCTTTAATTGAAAATAGTGCATATAATAAGCGCAAGTAATTATAAAATTGCAGTCCATATTTTAAGTCTAATTGATTATGACTGAATTATTTATAGTAAGAAAATACCCGCCAACACACGCACGTCTATTATTGTTATTATGATTTCACAAAAAGTTGACAAGAAAGCAATTTCGGAAAATGTCAGAGAATTTGTTTTTTGAGTTCACTCTTTCAATAATCAGCGTATAAAATAGTTATGAATTCATATATCTAAAAGAAAGAAAAATTAAAAATATATGGAATTACTTTCTTTCCAAACCAATAGAGAAGAAAGCATATACTCATTATGTATGTATCTACGATTTTTTATATTCAAATTAGAATTATTGGATTTTTTACTTACAAAATAACGGCCGCATGCAAAAACGAGAGGCATCGATGAATGCAAATGCCGGATGCATACATATTCATACATAATTTGAATTCGATAAAAGTTTATGATAATTAAACTGAAAAAGGAAAAAATGAAAAATAACAGTATTTTATATACAATATACATTTAACTATTTACTATCGGACATTGTGATCGATCGAATATAAATAATTAGACGCATATGTGCATATACATTTTATGATACATGCACGCACCATATGATGCATACAATGTTTATACGATTATGATGAACATGCATTAATGCATTGCATAATTTCCCTATGTATGCATAAAATTATGTGCGTGTGCATCTACTTCTCGTTTTTTTCTGGTTTTTTTTTTTTTTGTTCATTTGGTTTTTCGCAGGCATATGCAAATGATAAGCAAGCATTAGTGCATAAATACGATGCGTAGTTGGTTCTATATGCACATGCATAAGAAGGCTTGGCGTTTTAATGGTTGTTATTGTTTTTGTGTTGTTCTGCGAATGTATCGCTTTCTCTTTCGCTCTCTCTCCTTCTGTTATGGTCTACGCTTTGAGCCTATTATGTGCGCTGTCATTTATGCAAATTGCTTGTGTCAGACATGAAATCCAATGTGGCGCTCTAATGTGATTGCGTCATTGCTTCAACGACATACAGAGGACCTCCGAAATGAGCAAAAGCTTACTGGGATATGCATATCATTGAATGTTCAACACAACCGCATATACAGTTTCATATTAAAACTTTATAACCGGATTCTCTTTCAAAATCTGTCTACGTTTGTAAGCGATTTATGGTGTGCTTTAGAGTTAAAAGGATTTTTGAGTTTATTTGCAATTAATTTACGTAATATTTTCTTATTTTCATTTTTCGAAAACAAAATGTCAAAACGCCAAATAATTTTGCATATAGTAGTTTTAACTTACATTCATTCAATATTTAAGCTCATTAAGCCTGTCATTCTCTCTATCTACCTTTCTGTTACGCTCTGTCTCTCTTATATATATATATATAGGTCCTCCGTATGTGCGAGCTATCGGTCCTTTGAAAGCAGTTGCCGGTGTAGATGTTACCGTCTATTGCCCATTTTCCGGCTATCCTATTGAACAAATTAGATGGGAGAAAGGACATCATGAACTAACATCAAGTAAGCGACAAATCGTTTTACATTCTTTTATCACTAGTTTAACTATCATATATGTTAAAAAACATATATACATTTACACTCTTCCATGCACTACGATGTAATTCCTTTTTTTTTTTTTTTTTGTTGACTTAATTTCATTTCTTCTCCTCTTTTATATACATTCAGACTCTCATTATTCTTTGGCACCTGTACAGCAGGGCGGTTATATTGTCATCAAAAACGTCGAGCCAACTCGAGATCAGGGCATGTATACGTGTATTGTAAAAAGTCGTGCTGGCGAAGAGGCTCGTCGCGACATGCAATTGAATGTTAACAGTAAGTACTTTTTTTTATTTTTTGCTCTATGCATTGTAATGTTGTTGATGAATTGATTGAAAGCCCATCCATACATACATTTTCCGTATGTGTTTTGAATGATGATGTATGAGATATAGTGGGACATTGATTGTGTTTTAGAATTTGCTATAAATTTAAAACGATTGCTGAATATACGGTTTACTGCATAAGTCTGTAACAACGAGGTGCGTTCAGAGCAATACGAGTAGAAGTAGTTGAATAGTTGATGTTACAGCAATCGTTATCTCAGGCTGTTCATTTTTTCAAAAAACGCAAATACGTTATGATTTTATTTAATACCGGTACGTATTCTCTGATTCAGCATAATTGACGATAAGACTGCTCTTTTTCTTTCCGTTTTTATCACAAGTTGAGAAATATCTTAATTCTAATAGAGCGCGGATTGGCGATTAAACTCGTGGGTTTTTGAAGAATCCACTCAATCTTAGTTCCACCGGCCAGCATTACTATACCACAATTTTCAATTCTCCTACTAACTATGAAGTGACTTCATCGCGACACCGCATCGACTTAAGAGTTGCATTCCCCATTAGATGGTTCTGGACCGAACGCCCATTTATACAATCAGTCAATTGTTTTTTTAAACTGTCATTGCAAGCGTTTTCCGCCGTGCTTACTTACAATGTTGGTGGAGAGCGGATGTATTGGATTTCACTCAAATATAAGCAATTAAGAATAGTCCATTCGAGCAAGGCCGGCCCTTACCTACACTACTGCTGCTCTACACTATTTTGCCTAGAACAACTATTCACTCAATAATAAAGCAAAAATTAGACAATTATGTTCAGGAAAAGGCATACTTTCCATCAATGCCCAAGACATAACATGGCGTGATTCAAATTTTGTAAACTTAGTTTACTTCTCAAAAATTGTATTATTCTTTAGTTTCCGTCATAAAAAACTGTAAATTAGACTTTCTCTTTTTATAAGAGCTTGAGTTTTGTGACAACCTCTACACATGCTAGGGTCAACAGAGTACACCTGTGTAATCTGAATTCTTCTTTTGCCAAGCTGCTAGTACGGACTTTATATTATAAAATGAAATCTTTTTCTAAAGAGCTTACTATTCATCAGAAAACTTTTATTAAGTGGCGTCCAAGAAATAGACTAATGTGGTTCTAACTCGGTCCAATTTTTTTTTTGTGTTAAATTACTGTCATGAACAAATTTTCATCATAAAACATTAACAATTAGAACGTTTCCATATATGAAACTTTGCATTTTCTATGAATCCTTATATGTGATGGTATGCACAAAGTAGACCTACGTGGTCGAAATTCGGTAAGATTTATTTCTTCCTCAATTTACTATTATGAACTTATTTTCATCATCAAATACTGGAAATTACACCTTTTCACCATAATCGGATTTCATAGGAATGGTTATATGACGAGTAATTCAAAAAATTGGCTCCAGCCGAACCAAATTTTTCATACCAATTTGGAATGTTGAATTACTATTACGCAGCGAGTTCTGTCAAGAAATTTTGAAAATGGTCATTTTCCGGAATGGTCGAAAAGACGGACTGTTCGACCTATTTTCAGTAGTATTCGTCTTCAGCCCAATACACGTCCGCGTGGCAAAGTTCATCAAAATATCTCAAAAACTGCAACTTGTAGATCGAAAACAAAAAACGTGGACAGACAAGTTTAGCTCGATTCAGGAAAGTATTCTGATTTGATCGCCATTATGAAAGGTGGGCCTAGCTTCAGCCCTTCTGGATGTTACGTTCGTCCGGACGAACTAAATATACCCTGTAGAACATATGAGTGTAGGGTGTAAAAATGAAAATTCAATGTTGCGTTTAGTTCAATAAAGTCTCTAAACTTAACTACAATTGTTATCTAAGCAAATTCGAAATAACTTACGCACACTAAATCTCTTATTTTTTGCGCTTCCAAATAATGTTGTATATAAATGTTGTTTATTTATGAAATGCGAAAAAAATTGATGATAAAGTGATCATGTTATTTATGCCACCAAAAACTTATGCTTTGACATACAAATACACGATCTTATAACAACCCTGTCATTCTACTTGAACGTATGCTAATGACTCTGCCTTAGTTTAAACAAAGTTATGCTTACACTGAACAATGTGCGTCGTAAATGTAAGGTTTTTTTTTTTTCAAGAAATTAAGTAATAAAAGAACGTAAAATGGCGTTTGAAGTGTTATTCTAAATATTATAATAATAAGGTTAGCACAATGTAAGATTGTGTTTTAACTAAAGTGTGAAATTATTTTATAAAAAATGATAATGATGGCTATAACCTATTTTTACAACTCGAAGCGCAGAATTGATTTACTTGTATTAGGCGTATTCTTGCTTAAATTGGAAGGTGGCTTTTCTGGGATTACTATGTATATGCATAGGCTCTATGTAATTTATATAACAACAACTGTCAATTTCTGTAAAGAATGACGATATCGTACAGCTGAGAGGTGAAAAAGTATGTTTATATGGTATTCAGATCTAAAATGGCAAATAGTTTTTTATTTTATATTCAATTCAAACTTATCCAAATTTCACCAACATCAAGGATTAGGAAAATGAGCATCATAACCTTAAACCTTCTTAAGTTTTTTTTAATAACCATAGTTTCTCTTGAGCCAGTACAAATTCAAAACGCCTGCAGTTAGCTCTCATGCTGCAGATAGTTTTGAGAAATAAGCATTTTAAAATGATTCCTTCAGGTTCATGGGTTTTCAAATCTACATAGCGGACGGTAGTGGCATCCTCCCGCGTTTTCATTAAAGCGATTTTTTTGTTACTTATCTATTGGGCTGTATTGGATGCTGGGGATCTTTGAACTGCGTGCGTCCACCTAGCTGCCGGTTTATTCTTTCATCTCTTTTTGTAGTTCTTAAAACTGAAAACATTGAGAAACCTGTAAATTGACATTAAAGTTCATGGATGAAATTTTGAGGTGGGCATGGTCAGCAAATAGGTTTTCTGCTAAATTTTCAAGACTATTTTGTGGCTATAGTTTTCAATACACTAAGCTTATTTTCGTACATTTAAACTTGTGGGCCACGTTTGTATAGTTGGCCTATGCCATCCGTATGAAAATTTAAAAACGATCTCAACATTTTTGAGCGTTCAGTTCCCTGGAAGATACGTATAGAAAACTATATCTTTGATGGTTGTGCTCAGTCAACGAAAAATTTTAGGCCAAAATTAATACTTCCAGATGGAAAAAATATTGAAGGTGCTATGCTTGATATTATTTATACTGGTTTTACCGATACGTAGTTATAAGCTTGCATAAGAAGAATTTAATACTGATAGTAATATGCCGAATTTTACACTTTTCAACAAAAAAGAAGAGACCAAGTGCTTTAAGCTAACTGAAGGCTACACATATCCATACATAGAAAGAAGTTGATATGAAATTTTAAAATTCTTGATGCCACAATTTTCGCATTTTTGGGTACTGGTGTATCTTTATGAAAATGACACAACAACAATTCGGAAATATGATTTGGAAATTGGAGAATGTTAGATAAGTGACATTTGGGCAAGTAATTACACAGGCCCACGTGCAAGTGAATGATGAGAATTCTATCCTATTAAACTCAAATTAGTAATACAGCTTAACGTGCTTTCAAAGTTTACGACTTTAACACAAGAGTTATTTTGCTTTGATAACCGAAGACTTAAACGAATTTTTTCAAATTCGACCTTTTACATGAAAAAAGTGGTGATACTTAACTATTAACTTGCCTTAGGTGCTTTGACAGTGATGCTTGAGGTCGAGTTTTCTTTCGTTACCTCTTTCCCTTTTTTCATAAATTGTTTCTTTTTAACAGAACCTAAGGGTCATAAAAGCATAATTTCCCTTAACACAACAAGCACAAAGTTGTCACAAAATTTTTGAGGTTTTCGTTAAGTCTGCTTTAATGTGATGCCCAAAGACAATTTCATTTCACTTTCCTCGGCGCGAGTATAATTTTTTTTTAATAAATTTCAATTTTTGCAAAGAAAATGTAATAATTTTCCCTTAGGTAAGATGGTTTCATAATGCTATCAGTTTCTATCTTCCAGTAATAAGTGAAATTTTTAAAAGTTACAATAACTGAAATTTACAATTTTTTTCTTCCTCTTTTTAACACTTTTATAGGTCCTCCGGTTATAGAGCCATTTAAATTTCCCAAAAATTTACAAGAAGGCGGCAGAGCACAAATAACATGCGCTGTATCCTCGGGTGATATGCCGATCTATTTCAGTTGGAAAAAAGATGACATGTCGATACCAACCACTCTACAGGTAAAATGAAAAAAAAAGTTGCAAAAAATTTTTTTTGCCAACGAAAACATTGTAAGGCTAAATCAAACTTGATGCAAAAGTTTTCCAAGGGAATATAAATTTTCTAATACCCACACTCGCAAACATGTCTAGCTCTATACATTTTTGCTATTATCTGCTGTTTTTGCTCCTTTCTTTTGACTTTTTTATTTATTTGCTCGAATATTTTCAATTTTCGTAGATTACCGAGAAAAAGGAAGAGTTTTTTTCATTGTTGGTATTCAAGGATATTAGTGCAAAGCATAGTGGCAAATACACCTGCTATGCCAGTAATGCAGCAGCGAAGGTGAACTTTACCGCCGAACTGCAAGTGAGAGGTAAGTAACCATTAGTTTATAAGCGTAGATCCTCATACTTGTCTTGTCTTCCTTCCATGTATGTGTTCTAGTTTTAGTTTTGCAAACAGACCGAAAAATACGAGACAAAATTGTTTTCAAGTTAAATTAACTTGGCTTTAAGAGATTTTTTCTTGCTTATTTGCTAAACTACAGTTATCCGTACATTTTAGTTCATTTATCAAAAGTGTTCGTAACTTTTTATTTTATTACCAATAACAGACATTATGAAAATATATATATATATATATATATATATATGATTTTAACCTAAAAAGGATTTAAAAGGTTTTTGGTTTGATTTCATTTTCATCTAATGTATGGCGAGGGATAGAAATACGGTGCCGTTGTTGTTGAAACGAAATCAATTGCATTGAAATAAAGTCCATAGCAAACTTTCAAAGCCGGTCTGCTATTGTGTTCTGTTTTCTGTATAATTCCGAAAGATTATTTGGTTTATTTTAGCTCTGCTTGAAGAGCATTTTTTTACTTAGTTTTGTTTACACCTCCTACCTAGTTAGATCATGAAAAATACTTCGTTAAATTAGCTGTTATTTACTTACTCTTTTCATTTCTTTTTGTATCGCTGAAAACTTTTTCTAACCTTTTCTGTTTTTAATATTTTTTTATTTTTTTTTATTTTTTTTTTTATATATATCCATGTATATATATATATTTATACATATATATTGCTTTCCTATCGGTCACGTTTAGTTGCGCCACGTTGGTCGTTTGAACCAATGGATACAGCCATCATGCTTGGCAATACAATATCAATAAATTGTGAAGCGGAAGGATACCCAATACCTGCGATTACCTGGTTCAAAGGACAAGGTATGTTTTTCAATTTTATTTTCCTTCGTTTCGTATTTTTATCATTTTTCTTATATTGATTTTGTGCATTTTTTTTTTTTTTCTTTTGCTGTCACTAAGAGAATTTTCAATGTAAACATTAAAACGGGGTTCTTTAAATATCCGCATAAAGCTGACAAACGATAGAATGATGCAAGTTTATGTTCACTTATTCGTGTTCTAGGTAAACTAGAGGTTTTATTTGTTTTTTTCTTTTTAGACGTTCTCGTAAATTTTGTCCAAAAATGTGTTAAAGAAATAAATTTTAAATGATTTTCTATATTTTTCATTTGAAAAACTGAAAAGCCTAATAGGATGAATTTAAAGGAAAAGTCGTTTGAGGGTAAAAGAAGGAAACGCTTCTGATCATATTACTGTTGCGACGAAACCCCGGGAGAACTGTCTACTTTTGATAAAGGTGTTTACTTGCAAGACTCTGTTTTAGAATCAAGTTATTCGAGAAAACGTTTGTTTCATTTTCTTATAAGGGGGGGGCACGCGACCTTGTCATTCTATCTGTAGTGCAGTTCAGTTTCTTTCCTTTTAGTAGTAGGGCTAAGTGAAAGCTATGGAAGCAAATATAACTTCACTAAAAAAGGTGTATCGAGGCTGATTACTTAAGGACCATTGAAGTTAGGATGGAGAGCAATGTAGACCATTTCATCCCTTGTGTGTCTTTGTTATTTATGGTTCTTCGCTATTTAGCGAATATCGCTTTTTTTATTGCTAATTAGATCTTATTTGCAGTAAATTGTGCGCTTTTTTTTGTGCAATTAATTCAAGTAGAAAGTGCCACCTCATCTCTTTCGTGTTGCTTGCCCACTCTCTTCTCTTCCAGAGACGATCAGTTCGCTCCTTTGTGCGTTATTTTCGTTTTCGCTTAGGCTTTTTCGAAACGACACGTTTCGATTGCTCTCCAGTTGCGTAATATCTTCTCTATATTAAGATTATATTTATATCGCTCGAGCTCGAGCAGAACTTAATTCGGTTTATTAGATAAGAATATCGTACACTTCGCTAATCTACAGTTGAATTGAAAATTTTCATTCCTGCTTTCTTCGCTTCGCTATATAGGAGAACATACACTTCGTGACTTCTTCTCCCGCGCGATCACCGCATTTCCTCCATGCCTAGAAGATACCCGCGCAACAAGAACGCAATGCTAGCAAATGAAATGCCCTATTATTATAATGTGATCAAAATTTCCTCTTCTACAAACGTTTTTATAAACATATTATTTTCATTTGCTTTAATTAGTTTTTTCGATTACTAGTCTATGACTTATGAGTTATGTAAATAGGCCAACATCGAGAATTTGCTTTTATTTTTACCACATCTGCCTTTTTTCTAAGTTGAACTTTGCCCGTTTTTTGCCTTAGTAATTTTCCGTAATAATGATAACTAATTTCTGAAAAGTACTATTTGTAGTATTCGTACATAATTTTGCTTTTATCTTATACAGCACGTATGTGCGGGGTAAAGAGTTGGTTTAATTTTTACAAGTAAAGAGCTTATGTTCATACTTTCAATGTGCACATTATACATTACTTCGCCTAATCCCTTAAAAGCAGGTTCATTAAAGTTTCAGCACGAGTTTGCTGTTTTTTTTCTCTTTGTAAGCAAGAGCAGAAATTTAAAAAGTTTTTCAAAAAGAAAGTTTTTGCAGCAAATAAAAAATCAAAAATTGAAAAAAAAGCTACAAATTTATTTTCTAAATAATATTTATATACAATAAGTATGAAAAAATGGAACCTCGGTTAGTTAGTTAACTGATTGATCTTTGTTTCTCTTTCGTGTTGACAAACAGATAAATTGAATAAGGACTTTAAATCGCTAAATATGCGCAATCATTCATTGGTCTTAAATTTTGCCACCGATATTGATGAGGGCTATTATATGTGTCAAGCGACAAATGAGATTGGAGCGGGGCTTAAGAAAGTCATACGCATAAATGTTAATGGTAAGCTCTGTTATTTTTCAATTATTTCAATTTTCTCCTCGTACTGATTAAAATAATTACTTAAGAACCCGCGCGTTTTGAACAACCCGCTCGGAACGTTTCTTCACGTCGTAACGATGCGGTTACTGTCGATTGTCAGGCTAAAGGAGATGAGCCAATTACGATTGCGTGGACTCATAATAATGGGCGTATTGATTTGAATAATTTCCGCTTTAGTATAGCTGAGATGAAGACCGAAAAAGGTGTTGATTCTCAGCTAACTATAGCTCGTTCCGATCGTCATGATTCGGGTATATACAAATGCGTCGCAGAAAATCCCTACGGGCGGGCTGAGCAAATTATTTACTTGGCTGTGCAAGAACGTCCTGATACTCCATCAAATTTGGAAGTATTCGAAGTCGGTTCGCGTACAGTAAAACTTTCGTGGCGTCGTCCATTTGATGGAAATTCACCGGTTCTATCGTATTTAGTGCAATATCAACCCTTAAAATATCTTCAATCGCATGCCGCTTTAAATTTAGCGGGCGGCGATTGGAGTGGACCGAATATCATTAACGCCACACTGCCATCGACTAGTGTAAGCAAAAGGTGAGTGAGTATTAAACTTGTAAATATTTAATAAGAAGAAGCGATTGCTCTCAATAAATAAGTAAATGAGTCCGTTGATTATGCAGCTGACTTAAATATAAGAGTGATTGGATTCTCATTTTATCACGAATATGAATCACCATCTTTGAATTTTGCCTCGTCCTGATATATTACTTCGTAACGGCTTTGCCTGTTTTATTGTGCTATATAGTTGCGTAATTTGAATCGCCAGTTAAACAAGCACTTGTAAAGAAAGGTTAAAATGAAAAAAAAAACCCAAATGTTAAGTAGAGCAAATTATGCCTCTCTTAGCATTTTCAAACTTATTTACAAGTTTTAAACTACTCGTACAATATTTCTCTGTGAGTCATTGCTTTTAACCGCTCTTTGCAGCTACGATAGCGATTTGCGTGAAAGTGCCATTGTTGCGGGTCTAACGCCAGCGACAACATTTCTAATACGAATGCAGGCCATTAACGAAATCGAACGAAGCACATTCACCGATCCAATAGTTTTAAAAACCCAAGAAGAAGCACCCACCGAAGCTCCATCAAATGTCCAAGTGCAAACGGGCGGTGAACGTGAATTAATTGTTACGTGGCAAGTAAGTGGTAGTATAAGTGTATCAAAAGGGGAAAAGGTTACCTGCCATAAAAAAACCTAAGGGAAATATAATTAATTTGGAAAGTTTTTGCTAACTGTGAACGCATACGATCGATTAAATTTATATTGCGTCAAGTTTAAAGTCAACCCCGACAAAAATTTGTACAAACTTTCCACATTGATATTCGCCATACCATACTACTTATTATAGAACAGCGCTTGAGAATTCTGCGGAGTTCGCCTATTTTTCTAATTATGGTTTTGTAAATAATGACCATTTCAGCGAGATTGTGCGTCAAGCTTGTCTTCCATTTTGAGTATTCCAATAGTACAAGTAGGTACGGACGACGATGTTTAAATCGACCTGGAATATTACAGAATTCAAGAAGTGTTTTATGTGCCGTGGATCTGTACACGTATGTTTGTAGGACTTGTGACAACAATAGTAAAATTGATTAAAAACACCATAGAGAACTATGAAGAATGATATGTTTTGTCATCTATTCAGAGTTTCTAACAGTGTCCTAAAAGATTCCGATTTAAGAGGAACCAACCAAAAGTTTTTTTCTTTTTGCAAAATTCGATTTTGTCCATCAACATAATCCTTTTCAAGAATGATACACTCAGTCAAGCGGTTCTCTAATATTCCGACACGTTTTTAATAGAATGATTTCGAAAGCCTTCAAAAGCCGTTTCACGTTGTACAGTAACCTTTCTGAACTTTGAACTAAACGCTTTAAACTTACGCGCCTTGTGTATTCTTTTGAGATTTGTCAATAGATAATACTCCCAAAGTATATATAGATCTGGAGAATATGTTAACAAGGGCGATAACTAGGAGTTTTGTTAGTGCAATTTTGCATTACTATCGACTTGCGACTCGTTACCCTTGCAAGCGCTGCACTCGACGTTCTTTGGACTTGTTCATAGTCTCTGTTATCTCTTTAACTTTAATTTGAAGACCTTTCAGTACCATTTGATAAACTCGAGTGATATTTTTGTCAGTGGTGGTAGTCTGCCCATCTTTCACCTTTCACGTCTGTTCTGCCACGTTTCAGTTCTGCTACCCAAAATTTCATCACGATAAATAATAGTGCAGACTCTGCGCACATCGCGTCCAATTCGTGTTTAATTTATATAGGCGTTCAGAAAGTGAACACTCAACGAAGGCCTGATATCCAATTTTTTCCATCTTCTCAAAATGGGCTGAATTGGTTAGCACTTATCAATGCAAGCGCAAACATATTCCACTCCTTAAACGGTTTAATACAGAATGAACGAAATATACGTTAATTTTCTGATCGATAAATGTAGCCATCACTGATCAAGAATATATTACGTCTGTTGCACGTTAGATGCTACAAATGGATTAATGTCATGCATAAACTTTTTTATGCGTGTTCTACTGACAACCCATCTGTATTTTTTTTTGCAAAAAGCAAAAATGCTTTGCAGAATTTGAATTATATTCGTCGTTCAATCTCAAATGAATTATTTATTAGCTACGCACATAGTTGAGAAATGAATTGAAATCTCTTTTATATGTACATTTATGTAGTGATAGTGTGTTGCCTTCAAAGAACCCATAATTTTTCGAATTGTTACATCTATGTAAGTGGAAGATTAATGCTTATGGTCTGCGTTTTACGCTTTGCAACTCTTTGACAGATACCGCCACGTGAATCCTGGAATGGTGAGCTCATTGGTTATACCGTCAATTGTACAGAAGAGAAGCAAAATATTAACTACATAAGTGTTGTAAATAATTCATTAAAATCGGTGATTGTGAGCGGCTGGGCCACAACCAAGGCCACCCTAAGAGGTTTACGGAAATACACTAGATATGCGGTCACTGTGCGTGCTTTAAACAGTTTCGGTTCAGGGCCATGGAGTGCGCCTATCTTTGGCACCACAGCTGAGGGTGGTAAGTTCATTTGAAATATATGTGTGTGCGCTATTGTGTATGTTTAGATTTATGTAAAGAAACGCTGAAGAGGCATTTGCTATGCGAAAATTTTTATTTAATCTCAACAAGCATTAAAAAATGCTTTTAACTTTATACGCCTATATACTTGTATAAAAGCATGTCCGAGTTTATGTGTGCGATTGCACTTATTTTTGATTACCTTTTAAAGTTTTACACACTTATTTATAACGACTGTAGTTGTGTTGTTTTTGTTGCCATTATTATTACTTATAAAATCTAAAAGCAACGCCATCATGTATTAATGTCTTCCTTCACACTAACGTTCTAATTTTTTATATATATTACAAAAAAAAAAAAAAGAAGCAAAAAAAAGAAAACTATATGAAATTTATTCGGTTTTCTCTTTCATTCTTTTATAAACAGTACCTGAGGCAGCGCCGCAACATGTCAACTGTACTGCATTATCATCTCAAAGTCTGAAAATATCCTGGCTGGAGCCACCACTGCAATTCCATGGTGGCATCATACAAGGGTATAAAATTTTATATCGTCCGATTGTGAATCAAAGTGAGTCTGTTTTTATTTCAATTCATTTTTATTTATTTTTTTTAAATTTTATTCATACATATTTTTTAATGCATTTTTCTACACATAACATATATGAGTGCACGTACCCTCGTCTTCCTTTTTTTTTTTGTTTTTTTTTCATATTATAAAAAAAGACGGGAAAACAAACAAATACACATAAGCAACTTTAAATTTTCTCTAAGGAAAACTTGTACCTAGCTTTCTCAGGTTGCTTGCCCCTTTGCGTTTGCTTTTCGTTTATTCTCCACGAACACATTTGTTTTTGAAACGTGTCTTGAATACCTTTTGCATAAGTCAAAGAGGTTATATATACATATATATTTGCGTTATATATGTATATGTATATATAGATATATGTTTGGGTGCATGGGCAATAAGATTTTGTTTATAGATTTCATATAATATTAAATTCTTTTCAATTTCATCAATGGGGAAAGCATATTCAAGAAGCTTAAAATATTAAGATTACATCAGAAACAAAATTTTTACGGCAGCCACGCTTTTCTTTAGCTGCTACTCAGCTTAAATTATACAAATAGACTGAACTCTGATCTCTCCTCATGTATGCGATGAATAGATATTTACTTATCAAACCATCGATAGATTGATTTTTGGGTTTATTTTTTTAATTTAAAGAGCGAGAAAGCCAATGTTTAAAAATGATTGGGTAGAATGCCTTTACAGTACTGATATTGACACAAGAAACAGAAAATTGCCCCTAAATGTAAAGACGACATGCCTTATGTTTATGTCACTTTTAGCAAAGAATTGTCATTAGTAGAATCCGTGAATCTCTTGAAATAAACCGTATTAGAGCCACAGATAGAGGATTTTGGAAGTTTACCTTCGGGGTTTCTGGGCGTAACGAAAGGTTACTTGTGACTTTTCATGTATACTTGGTTTACCGGCAAAATGCACAAATAGTTAAGAGGCAATGAAAAATGTTCGGCTGCAGCACTCCCACCGCATTCGTTTTGCAACAGTTCATTACGACACTATCTTTTTGAGGTTAAATATCACGCCCGCACGGAGACTAAATTATTTTAATGTCTTCTCAGTACGGTCTCTCCAGATATGGCTGCGGTCGTATCGTTTCTAGTTGTCGTCTTTATTTTCAAAAGCAGATGCTATACAGTTATGTTGTTTACAACGCTTTCCAATCCCCGAAACAGTTGTTATAGTTGATTGCCGGAAGGGCCTTTCAAAGCTTTCTGCGATTCAGCTTGCATTGATCCAGTTGCGTGAAAGTATTGCCCTCTGTGTGGTATTTTTAGTTTAGAAAATAGTCGGGTGTAACATGCGACTAAATCAGGTGAATGGCGTGTTTGTGGGACGATATGGATTGCATTTTTAACGGAGTGGGATGAAAGAATCAATGCTGCTTGAGATGGCGCATTGTCCTGCTGCAAAAATCAAGAGTTGTCTTTTCACAATTCCGGCCTCTTTCTACGAATAGCTTCCACTCAGATAATAGATATTACTCAGATAATAGTCTTTATTAACAGTTTGGTCTGGTGGAAGGAATTCATAGTGCGCAAAACCACGATAAACCAAGAAAACTCTTAACATTGTCTTGTATTTTAGGCGACTTTGCGTTCTTGGTTCAACTTTTGCCTGATATTCGCTCGATTGATCGGTTGTTTTCGGGCCACATGTCCATATGGAGACATTAAATAGAGATAGTCAGAAATCATCTCATCACACACATTATAAAAATTAAAGAAAACACTCTTTCTGTTGTAAAAAACAAAGCGCAGTTGAAACACAACTGACATATATGACGTGAAATTTGGTATAGATTTCTTTCACAGCGCTCTCAATGTAGAAAAAAATTATGTCTTTGGTATTCGATTTACCCGAGCAATTTAAATTGAATAGTGGTCATAGCTTGTGGATATCTTAATTGTTGAGATCCGCAGAATGTTCATCATAGACATTGCACAGTCGTACAGACGGGCATACATGCTAAGAATCTGAAGTGCTTTTCTCGATGCTGCAAACGTTTTGGCTGTATGCATATATCCCATTTTTCGGTGGTGAATGTAAAAATCGTCTCAATGATACCGCACGAATGAATTACGCACCATTTGGCACATTGCCATTAGCAATGATTTGGTTATGAAAATTGTTATTTCCTCAGCAACGATGGTCTGCGTAGGAAATGTATAACGTTGCGCCTTGATGATCGTTTGGCTTAATTGTTTTATTTTATACGAAGGGCGATTTAAGTTCTCAGGCAAAATACGTGGGAAAATGGTAAATACATCTTGCCTTCGAAGCCGAACATTAAATTTATTTGTTTACTTAATTAAATTCCGCTACAGAACAACTCATTAGTCGAACGTAAGCTACAAAATAATTTAAAATGTAGTATAAAGAAGAAAAAATCAATAAAAATAAACATGAGATCAACGTATAATATACAATAAAATTCATCTAAGACCTAAATTAAGATACTGGGATATACATTGTTGGATGAATATGTGCTCATTTATACATTATCAAGATAGAAACAAATGAGAAAACACCAAATACGAAGGAATATTTTGATTCAACTTACCGGCACATGTGTAAGATTCCAAAATGTTTAGTAGTTAGTTATGCAATATAGGGCTTTCCACCTTATTAGAGGACAAAACGAACGGATTAAGTAAGTGGTAATCATCGTTGAGCAGTTTATGCATTGACCGAAACGGACTAAACAACTCATAATAGGCCCGGCACTGTGGTAGTTGTAAGAGCACAAAATGTCCTGTGACCCCAGTGGGGAAGTGAATATCAATAAGTGCTAATATAGGCGGCGACTCCTTTTATTAGTTGACATTCTCAACATTTGATGGCTTTTCTCAAGGTTAGGCAAATCCAAGTTCTTGGTGAACAAACAGATGCGAGTGTGAACGAACTAAACTAAAACTAAATCGACTATAAAACAGTATAAATAGCACTTCATACACACTAAATACGTTTCAGGAAAATCCCTAAAAAAAAAAACAAATTTCAATAACTATTTTAACACTGAAATTACGGGCGTTTCGCATATATCTTCTATTTCCACCAAAAGGCATCAGTTTGATCCTCTATTTTTGTCGACTTGGCTCAGTCGTGAAAATGAAGTCGGAACCAGAAATTTGTCACAAACATTCCTTGATTGATCAAAATCCTATGTTGCGAACTGCCTACGTGCACACCCACCATAACTAAGAAACTATAACAATTTTGAAAAAAGAAACGGTAATTTTATTACATCGTCATCTAGAACTTTCGATCCCGGAAAATCTCCTAAGTGAATGCTTATCAAATCCATCAGCATCCTTAATTCAAAAACGGCCCCGAACACCCAATTTCAATTTATTTCTAATTTAGTTAGAATCGAATAAAAACATTACTAATACGTCTTAAAGTAAATGGGAAATAAATTCGAATTAAAATTTTATCGCAAATTATCGCTGCATTAATAAGCAGATCGGCTGCTGAATGTTTGGGCCGCAGATTTTGAGAATTATCTTTATGGGATCGAAAGTTGTAGACAAAGATATGGAAAAAATTTCCTCCTTTTCCCGAGATTGTTTCTATTTCTTCCTGAAAGCATATCGCGTCAAATTTTTAACCTCATATTCTTAAGAGATCAAGAAATGTCTTTGCCAAATTTCAGTTCCCCTTTTTTTTCTCACAACTGTGGCAAGTCGATAAAATAGGGCACCAAAATGATCCCTTTGGTGAAAATTAGGTATATGTCATCGTCAGCTAGAACACTAGACCACACAGTAATAAGTAAGAAAATCAAATGCAGTCGCAACCAAATCTTGTACGTCCGCCACCATTTACCTCAGAAAAAGAAAAAATTTTCATGCATAACATGAATTGAGCGCAGTTGATTTCTTCTATTTTTAAAATAAAAATTTTTGCCGTAAAGGCATGTAGGCGTTATAGGCGGTTTTTTGAAAATTCCAAATTCTTTTGTGAATTTTTAGGCCAAAAGGCCAAGCGTTTGGATACTTTATCAGGTTTTTGAAATTTGTTTATGCGAGAAAAAGTAATTAAATTTTGATACACTATAATATTGAGTAGGCATGGTCAACTTTTTCCGTGTTTTTCCACAAATGCTACAGCATCGCCCATAGAAAACGCGTTCAAGTTTTTACACATTTATTTGCTATAGTTTATGAATAATGAGCAAAAAACCAATTTTCCATTCGCTTAGAAAAGCAGAGGTGTTCTCAGTTTACGATATGCTGTGGGCATGTCCTTCGATTGATTTGGCCCATTTTCAATAACAAACTGCGTGCAAGAACTTTCAATGTTTCTGCCAAATTTTGTACAAGACTATGTATACCTAGAGGGGACGTTGCAAACGTTTCGACAAAATGAATATAGCGCTCATCCTTGATGGGGGGACGGGTATAAAAAGGGGTTGTAAGTGTTTAAAGATCTTCTCACATAAATAAAAGTCTTCAAATAATCTTGGAACGTGACATGCTTCGTAAACGTTTTTCTGAAGATCGAAAATTAAATAGTATCGAAATTACAAATCGTGCAAAAAGGAATCGAGTCTATTTTTCTTGTGTCATGGCTAGTATGAAAATCGTGTAGGGATGGAAGTAAATCGATCTATTGCGGAGGTGCTAAGGAAGAAACGACAAGTTACTTCCTCGAATATTCTTTTAGCTGAATCGATTTCGAACTTCGTTCCGATTAAAAATTACTTTATAGGAGATCTCTTATCCACTTCAAGATTTCGCAGAATAGTACAATTTTAACATCAGCTTCTTATATAAACGGCGGCAGATGAACGAACTATAGGTTTTCTATATATTTTACAATAGGAAATTGCAAAATAGTCGGCATTCGCAAACTTTTCCTAGTAAGCATTTCTTATTTTCCTAGTTCAATCGAGTTGAGAAGCCAAGCCACGTAGCACATGAATTGCAAAATGATAGATAAACTTTTCTTAATGGTCGCATCGTCCTTTTATGTTCAAATCGGAGTCAAATCCCCACTCGCACTTATTTACCTCTTGAGGACTCTTAGATTGGTCAAAACAATTTAAAAATGCAGTGCCTTTCTTCTGGGTCTTTTAAATTGAACGTTAAAATTGCTACACTAATACGTATATTTTACACATATATGCCTGCAGTTGAGAATGATTATAGATTCTCATTTAATATGCCGCTAAGCACACCAAGTAATCAGATAACAAAGCGTATGTGTAATGACGTAGTGATATTATATTAGATTCACGTATAAAGAATTGCAACTAAATTTTTTTTTTTTTTTTATACAAACATACATATATATATACATATATATTAACTCTTACATTCTTTTGCCCGTTTTCCTTTAACGTTTACAGTTGATTTTCCAGCTAAAATGGAAGTGAAGCGCACTTCAAATTTGGAAACTTATTTGCACACATTGCATAAGGCTACCAACTACTCGTTGCGCGTGTTGGCATACACGGCCACTGGCGATGGTGTAGCCAGTCAAGCGTTATATTGCCAAACCGAAGATGATGTACCGGATGCGCCAGCCTCAATTAAAGCAGCTGCTCTAACAGCAGACTCTATTCTAATATCATGGCTACCACCAAGAAATCGTAATGGCATCATAACTCACTATACCGTGTATTCTCGTGAAGCGGGACGGAAAGGGCCGGCCAAATGTAAGTGTGTGGGTATGGGCAGGCAGAAGTGAACAATGAAAAAAAAAAAAAAAAAAAAAGAAAGAAAAAAAAAAAAAATAAATTAAAAAATATGTGCCCCCCCCCTTCCCCCCACCCAAAAAAAAATAAAAAAAGAAAAGGAAGAAGTCAAGTTGAAAAAGTTTCCGTTTTTTTTCTTTTTGTTTCGCATTCCGTTTGTCTGCTTTTATCGTAAAGTCGTGAAAGGTGCATCAGTATCTAAATTTGAAAAGTTTTTTCTTGCGATATTTTTTTTTTCTTTAGCTTAGTTTTATTGCTGAAGTTTTTGCTTAAACGTTCAACGGGTTTTGGCTTTGCTAAGGATAAAGTTTTCTATTCGACTATTATTTCAAATTTCAATTTAATACCGTTGGACGAAATGACACATAAGAATTTTTTCATTTTTTTTTTCTTCTTCTTTAATAAGCTTAATTAGTGTTTAATTGTTAGCTAACCTGCATGCTGTGTGTGGCTGTGTGGAGACAATTGTGGACTTTTTTCTATTATAATCTTTTTTTTCACGTTGCTTATTTTGTTTTTTTTTTTTTGTTGCTTTTTTTTTTCTTTATTCATTTAGCTTATATGGTGCGAGTTGATGAGAACGGTTATCCGGTCACCTATGAAGCGCGAGGCTTGGCCGAAAATCAAATGTATGAGTTTTGGGTATCAGCCTCAACATCGGTGGGCGAAGGTGAACCAACTTCTGTGGTTGCTCAAGCCACAAATACACGCGGTAAGTGAACGATACGACGAACAATTCAATTTAATTCAATTGAAAAACATTTGAACAATGCAATTTTATTTAATGTCTGAAATTCAACATACATGCTAGTGCATACATACATATTTACGTGTGAATGAATTGTTTGCATTTGTTTACATTCTTACATAAAGGGTGTCTCAATATGACTTGGGAGATACATTTTATGCCATAATTCAGGTAATTCTTTCTTCGCTTGAAAAGAAATGATAGGATCACGTTCGGAATGTGTTTGAGCGCCGTTATATGCTTTCAAGTCCAAGCTTTCCCGCAAAATATACCAAAAGTCTCGTGCAGAAAAGGCATAATTAATGAAACCTCGTATGCCATTCAAATATTGTCCATGCTTCAGTTACTCTATCCTATCGAAATAATAGGATTATAAACTATATTCAACGGTTCTAGTTTTTTGATTTCACTTTCAATTGTTCATTTATCGGCATGATTTCTGCAATGAAATTATTGGCGGGATAAGGCGTCACGTGTCCAACCTCGGTAGTATAAGAAGAACCGAAAATTGGGCGACTTCTTTCTTACACCAAAAAATTCGATAGATCTTAGTGTTATGTCTATCCAATTTTATTATCGACGGACTTCTCCGAGATATACATGAAATATTGACAATGTTCGGTTTACCTTTTTTCATCTCCCTCTCTCTCTCACAGAAATAAATTGGAGGGCGTGTCAGCTAAAAGATGATAAATGTTTTTTGTAATGAATGCAAGTTTTTCCTTCCGGTAAGACATTTATTCTTACTCTTCCGTATAACACCACGTATGGGAGACGATATCGAATTCATTAGTTGTTTTTGGCGACACAGTTTATTTGATATAAAAAACTCTCTGTTACATTTATCTGACTGCGGTGGATTATGTTCTTCTCACTATAATTATTTATATCATGCTGTAATTTATACAGATTTAATTAATTACTGCAATTACTGCAAAAACTCTTGTTTTTCACATGCATGTGTGTGTATGTGTACATAGTTTATTCTGAATAGTTTTTCAGTTTGTGGAATGCTTTGGCGGAATCAGTTAGTAAAAGGTTACATTTTCTTCAAAACTTTAATTTTTACACTAGCAGCAGTAGCGAGAGGACGAGTGGAGTCAAATTTTTGTATTTTGAATGGACAAAGTTTCGGATGCTCCATAAAATATATGCAATTTTGACCAGCGTAACCAGATCGAATAACAGATTCAATTTAGTTATATAGTTTGCCTCGCTAATTCATCGTCCGTTCAAGTCACGATTACGATACCAAAACTTTGACCAGGAAACAAACCTGGTTTGAAAGTTTTTCAAATTGAAATTGAAAGCCACAATTACTTTAAAATTTTACATAGTAATTAATTCGGTGTATGTCTTTAGCTCTTGCTTTGCAAGGTTATCTTCTAAGCACGTGTTACAGATCAATTTATGTACGCTGTCCCAAAATTTACGCGAGATAAATAGAAAATAGAGGATTTTTTTAACTGTAACTTTTTTATTGAATCGCAAAGTACATATGTGTACATTTTGTGTGGAATATCATATTGCGCAAATCGCCTCCACCGTTTCTCTTCTCGGAATTCTTAGCCCCGAAACGCGAGAGTACCCGATTAGGTACCTCATACAGTTGTCTTATTCAGCTATTGAATTGTTTCACGGGGTATATGGCATGCGGCACCGGCTTGTTGAAATCGCATGCCCTTCATCCAATTTAGGCAGAAAGAACTAAGCTATCATTGCGCAATCTTGAGCCTCAGTAACAGTGATTGGTTGACCAGCCTCATTTTCGAAGAGATATGTCCAAACTCCCATTATTCTTTATATATATTTCAGCAATGAAACTGTCATCTGTTTTTTAGTTGCCACTTAAAAATTTTTTTTTAGTCTTTAAATTATTAATAATAAAATAATAATAACAATTTTATAATTATTATTATTAAGAAAAATATTTATGAAAAATACCAATATCAAAAAAATCAATGGCAACATCGGACACAATCTCGCAGGTCGCGGTTGTTTGAAGACTATGAAGAGCGTAAAAGACGCAAAATTTGAGCCCTAAAAAAATTTGTCTATATGTCTACATCTAGGGCAGCGTAAAAGATATTTTAGAAGTATTGATTTTCACACTATTCGTGAATATTTGAAGGAAAAAGTTCAATCTTCGACCAGAGAAGAGTCCGCGTTTTTTTGATTAATAAAACCAATTTGAAGTTTTTTCGAAAATGTTCATCGTAATTGTCTGGATAATGTTACTTTGAAGATATTCTGAAAAATTATAATAAACAGGATAAAAGTTACCGAACCGTCTTAAATAATCGTGTTTCGAAAGAAATGTTTCTTAAATTTCAAGTAGTTGCATGCCGCCATATGACTATATTTGAAAAATCAAATTTTTAAAGTTCTTAACATTTTGCCACGCCTACAATCATTTTTTATATGGCCCTTAATTATTTAATAAGCTTTTCCAGTCCATAACAAAAATTGATTTTCCGAAAATTTTACAGTTGGTTTCTTTCTCCATTTAAGAAAGATTTTTTAACTTCCTTTATTTTTAAACTAAGCATTATGATTAGGAATATAATTTGGTAACCACAAAATGTCAAAACCTAAGTAGGATTTTTTATTTTTACTTATAGGAGTCATATGATTTCAAACCGAATTACAGACCTTGTTTATCCCAATCTATAAGATTATGTAGACTTTTGGATATATTGCGAATATAAATTGAATAAACGCAGTAAACTATTAAAATTATTTTATTAATTTTTATTATAAAAAGTATTTTACTATAAAATATTTTCAAGTAATTTTTCCGACAAAATATGTATAACAGTATTATTGACAAATCAAGTTCATTCTACTATAGCAGATAGCGGTAAAGTTGGGTGAAAAATCGTTAGTAGAACTAATTTTTAAATTGGTACCTAAACATCCACATATACGGTTGAAAAACGGTCGCAATCGGTTTTTTGGCAAGTCCACAATTATAGAAACAGTAAAGTGGACGTGCAATTGACATATATCGACACAAACCCGCCAAATTGACGGTTGAAGTAAATCTAGTTTTGCCACGATAGTGTTGTAGTATCCTTAGAGAAGTCGAGTACGCTTCGCTTTCAAAAAATAACGCGAGAAAAAATTCTGATCGAAACTACTTTTTCCCAAAGGCGGTGGATAGGAACGGTTCAATATGACGAAACTAGAGAGTAAATTATCCATTTTCGAATGAAAGATCGACCTCAACATTTCGTTATGAAAGACGCTGGATTTTATAGAAGCGGAAGTTTATCTACCCCTTCTTCATTTATAGTATTTGAATTTGCTCCCCCTTTTTTATTTTGAATAGTTGACTTTCCTACTAAGTGTTGTTACGTTTTCTCATTTTGTTTAGCACCCGCGCGCATTGCTTCTTTTAGCCAAGTGGTAAGAAAGGCTGTTGGCACCAGCCTTGTATTGGAGTGCTTGGCGGTGGGTAATCCGACACCAAGAGCCAGATGGTTAACAAGAGATCGACCGGTAACATTTAGTCCATTTTATGAAGTGACAACAGATGGAAATTTGAAAATTCATCGTAAGTAAACCAAGATCAGACCTTGCATGTATAACTTTGTATAAATTTGCATATTGCGTCTTGTAATATTCCGAATATAATACAATTTTTTTGGAAGTTTATTTCTTAGCACTTTCTTTGTCATGTGTACCGTTTCCAGTGCACGTTAAAATGCCAAGTTAAATTTTTCAAATGTTAGAATTTGCAACCTAATTGTTAGTAACATTGCTTTACACTAAGTTAAAATGTTAATTCCAATCTTTGAGCCGCATACCAGTAACAGTACACGAGGCGTAGTGGTTGGTTGCCAGTGAATATCCCGGTCATTAGTTAGCTTTTCTGCTTCGCAGTTTGAATACTTGTTTTTGCGAAAAATATGTATTTTTTCTCTTAAACGCAGGGGAACTACTTATTCATATTTGCGTAGCGAGTACCAAAACTGGTACACGCGGCATGGAGGTGGATGGAAGTCGTTTTCAGTTTGGCAAAGAACGTGTTGACATTATCTGAGAAACATTAAAGCGGCGAACGGCTTATCATTAAAAGCTCTACTTCACCCTACAGTTATCCACATGACTCCTCTTCAAAATAAGGCGTTCTATGAGAATTGGTCGAAGAAGTGGTCCGAATCGAACTATTTTCAATAGCGTTCGCTCTTGGTCCAAAACATATTAATGTACAAGATTTCATTAGAATAACTGAAAAGTTGTGACTTGTAGGCTAAATACAGGAACACAAGACAAACCGGCGAACAAACAAGTTTAAAATTATTTTCTAAATCGATGGGTATAATAAAAGGTGGACGTATCGCAAGTCCTTCTGCTGTGCTTTGAATACACCCACACAAACTTAGTATGCCTTTGTACCGCAAGTGGTGTAGGATATAAAGATGGTTTTGACCATTTGTTGGGAACATATACGATCGATAAACGTCCGTCCATCTTTCACGTTACGATGTTTTACGGCTGTGATAACGAATTCAGCCATTAACCTCATTGGCACACAGTCACGATCTACTTATAAATTTGCTAGCCGCAATAAGCAAAACACTGGAAAATTCTAAGGGGAAGAAAATTTAATCACATTTTGAATCACCAAATTATATTAATTTGGGATTTGGTATAAACACATTCGTACATGCATACGTGATTGCTCTAAAACGTTAAATGGACGCTCCAGCTTGACTTCGCTCGAAGTAAAACTTATAGTCAACAAAAATCTCTCATAAAACTATTATTTATTTATTTATTTATTTATTTATTACTTTTAATAACATAAAGGCCTTTAAACGAATGCAGCTATAAGTACTAATCTTACTTCTTTTTTTTTTTTTATTTCAATTTTTGATTTTGTTTATCCTGTTTCTTTAGAAAATTGTTACCGTTCATGTTTTTAATTACTTTTCTGTTATTGTGATGTGATGACATTGTAATTATTGCTATTGATTTTTTCGATTCAAATGTTGTTGTTGTAGACATTTTCCATTTCCATGAGTTTGTATTTGTTTCTTATTGCAAATACATTGTTTTATAACGTTTTTTAGGTGTAGAAGGCAGCCTGTCCGGAAATTATACATGCACAGCCAACAATCTCTTCGGCAATGATGAAATACAATATCAAGTGATTGCTATGAAACAGCCCGCTGCACCGCAAATTATTGTACAATATGCTTCGGCAGATAGTATACGTGTCAGTTGGGATCCGCCAGACGATGGCGGCGCGCCGTTACAGGGATATAGCATCTTTTATCGGATAGCAGGGGAAACATGGTCCCAAGCGGAATTGATGCCAGAAAATAATGCCTACACAATCACGCAACTGAAATGTGGCAATCAATATATAATTAAAATGTCAGCTCATAATTTGGTAGGTGATGGGGTAGCGAGCGAGGAAATTAATGTTTGGACAAAAGGTAAAGGTAAGTAAGTGATGATGACAATAAGTTTTTATAATAATAATAAAAAAATACAGAAACCAAAAACAAAAAAAACAAAAAAAAAAAAAAAGACGGAAAATATAACATGTTCTTTATAAATATTAAATTAAAAAGTTCTTTGTTTTTGCTCTTTTCCTGGTACGTTTTGCAGCCTCTCAGGCACCTAACGGCAATGAACTAATAGTTACAAATGCATCATGTGTTAATTTAAAATTGTCAGCATGGCATAACGGCGGTTGCCCAATTCATCATTTTTCCATTGAACATCGTCCCTTGGGTAAGTTTATAACTTCCATAAGCATATGATATATGTATGTATATACAACACATATTATATATGATAATTAACATATGAACGCATACATTTGTAGGGTGTCCCAAATGCAATTCTGTTTTCATTAGCGTTAGTCAGTCCTAGAAGGCGACAACACACATGTTATATAGTACGTGCAATAGTATTTATAATGAGGCCGAAATTTTCGTTAAAAATTTTGATACCACGAAAACAAACACAAACTAAATGTGTTACAGTAAATTGCAGCGTACCTTTGAGAAGAACCCTCAGTCGTTCTAAGTTAAACAGATTTGATAATCTTGATAGCCCGGCTCTTAAACGTATCTAAGTTGTCTATATTTCCTGCTTTTCACGGGAATGCCGACCCTATATATAAGACATAATTTACATGGCGATCTCTCGTCGCCTACCATACGTGCAGCACACCCTTGAGCTACGGTTGAGTTAGAGCTTGGAGTTCATACCGCATTTATTAAAAGCAAAGCCTCTGCTTTTCTATGAGTTGAGCACCGCGCTCTACTGCTACCGCGAATTTTGTCACAACCATAAAACCATGAAAGGAACTTTTCCAAAAGATCAAACCAACCAATAAAGCACAGCGTATCCGAGCAGCTTTAGTCGCCTTTCTGGTGAGACCTTTGCTACCATAGACTTTCAAAGAACGGGTAGAAAATATGATAACATTTTGTTATATTATCTGACTCAGCTTTCACCTAGCTAGTCCAGATGCTTCTAGCTCTGTATAGTCAGTTTATAAAAAAAAGAAAACTTCCCTCTGCTAGATGCTCTTGATTTTTTAATGGCTATCTCTTCATACGGTCATGCTACAAGCTATTGACACAATTACGGGCTTTTGATGTTATTTAATCTTGCTGCGTCACAACCATTTTATTTATAATGATATCGATTTTAGCCGTTCATTATGGAACACCCATTATGATTTGCATGTAACAGTTAGTGAGTGTCTCCATCGCCATCTATCTATCTATGTACAAAAATGGAATGGATGCAGCATTCAATTAGTTGAGCATTTTGATGCGGTTTTTGGCTTATATATGACAATCAAGACTAACAAATACACATGTGTATGCGCCCGGCTATTAACACTTAAACACATTATGTTATAGAATGCGTACAAGCGTTTGTAATTAAATTTTGTATTTAAAAACACATGCTCACATATTGCGGTTTCTGCGGATTTTGAGGAAACGTACGCGTGTGTACGCTTTTCTATATAATGTCTGAATAGATTTTAATCTATTTATTTTTTTGCGAAATTGGTCTCTGAATAGTGTGTACGTGCGTTTACGCACATAATGTAAGCTGTCATTAATGTCACATATGAACGCTTAGTAAAATTAATAGATATATTCAATGTATTACAAAAATGTGCAGTGATTTTCCTTAAATAAACATAATAAACCAGTAATAGCAACAGCAGCAACAACAAAAACAATAGGAAAAAGCAATAACCACAATAACCGCAACAACAACAACAACAACAAGAATAAGAGCAACTAAATTAATTGAATTTTTTAGCTTAAGCGTCAGTCGTCACAGTCGATTAATATTTTATGAAATTTATGGCACAAATCGTTTCAATAGTCGTTAGAATCGTCGATCAGACTATATAATAAACCAAAGGTGTTTTAATAGAAAATCACACACAACACTTATAATGAAATCCCTTGGGTAGCTCCAATTTGAAAAAGGAAATGTGCTATAAATTTCTCAAAAGATTTTCTGTCGCTAAAAAAAAAAAAAAAAAATTGCTCTTAATTAATTGTTAATTTGAAAAAGAACGAATTTTTTTTTGTTTTATTTTTCGTTCATTCATTTTGCATATGTAGTACATACTTGTAAAGTGGTGACTGTTATTTGACTGCACTTACACAAACCCACATATACATGCACATTATACATCACCTCAAGCGTGTACGTTACCATTTCCGTCGTTTACACGCCCGCCACGCGGAGGTTTTCCATCTCAATTATATATCATTTATATATATATTCGTTTATCTCATATCGTCTCCATTCTCTTTTTGTATGTTTGCTTGCCTCTTTCTTGCTTCGTTTCTTCCACTTAATCAGGTGACATACGTTGGACGGTGGTCACGTCAGACATATCGAATGCTGAAGAGAATCGTGAAAATTTAATATTTTGCGATTTCCTGCCAGCCAAGTGGTATCAATTGCGCATTTCGGCCACAAACGATGCGGGGAAAACCACAGAACACTATCATTTTGCCACAACGAATATTGACGGCGTTACTATACCACCGCCATCGGTTTTCCCATCCGAAACCGATTTAATGAATAACTTGATAAATGCAACCAATCCAACAAATGGTGATTGGTTTTCAACATTAATTGTTATTGTCATAATAACAGTGGCCATGATTACTGTGTAAGTAGTTGACTTTTTAGTGAAATTGTGAAATTTAAAAAAAGTTTTTGTTAAAAAAGAAGGAAAAAACTTTTTGTTGTATATACTATGAGCTTAAGTTTATCAATCTAGTTTTCGATAAATTAAGTTCACCGATATATAGCTTTTAACGATTGTATGATGGACAAATTCTAGCGGGATTGACAGATGACAAATATGACAAACATAAGAGTAAGAACGGAAAATAATTACATTTAGATTGATTCGGAAAGCTTCCGAAACATCAAATAATTATAAGAATTCGTATTGACGTTTCTGGGTAACGGATTTTCCGAAATGGATTTCCAACGAATGTTTTTCTTCTCTATTGAAAATAAAAGTGCGATCCATTGCAATTGTATATGAAATGTGATATCGCACGATTGCGTCTACAAGCTATGAGCGTCACGAATATCAAAGTACTTGATAGCTTTTTGTCACATCATCTCTTATTTAATGCATAAATTCCATTCCACGCCTTATTTCCAAAATGTTGTATTGTTCCTGCATGATCTTGATATAAGCTGTACTTTTCCAAAAACTGCAAACTCAGTCCAATACCTTGGCGGCCATTTAATGTCAAGATTTCGTCAAATTAATTAATCCGAAAATTTCAGCTTCAATCATTCGATTTTCACAGCGGTTACACGCGCTGTACTTCCATCCTATTAAAAGTAAACATAATTGCAAGAGCTTGCACAGATGTATTTTCAAAAATGTAAAGACTAATCAGTCCAGTCCCCACACGGGACAGTGGACAAATACTCTAATACTCCTCTTGACTGGTTCAAGATTTGTTTTTTCAAATTTTGTCACTAACTTCCCAATACTTGGTTCATTTGGCCGATCTGTGAGCTCGAAAGAAGTCAGTAGCCCCAAGAAATGCTAATTTTGAAGAGTACTGATTTTTATAATAAGTTTAAATAATTTGAAAGCGTTGTTCGCACGTGCGATCGCTATCGAAGGTTAAAATTGTTGAACCACAAAATACCAAAAACCGGGGGTGATACACTGATGCCTTGGCCGTATTTCCCGGTTGCGGGTTTAACTTTACCGACTTTTTACATTGTACATATAAAGCTATGCACGAAAAGTTTAAATGCGCGCCCATAACGAATATCAAAAAAAATAGTTTTTTTCTAAATTGGTAGCAAGCGTCCTGACAAGTCACAAGTGAGGAGATGATTTCTGACTATCAATCAGTTATCGCGTTATTACGACAGATGAGACTGGGATCTAAGCATACGATCCGTAAACAAAGGATCAATCGAACGAATGTCGTTCAACAGGGTGAGCCAAGAACGAAAAAATTTCGCCAAAGTCGCTCAAACATCAAGATGGTTTTAAAAGTTTTCTTCGATTTCCGCGACGTTGCGCACTTAGAATACCTTCCGCCGGGCCAAGCTGTTAACCAGGACAATGAACACGTTCTCGTCAAGTTGTTCGCAAAAAGAGGCCGGAATAAATTTAAAAAAAGGAAAAATTAAACTTTTTGAACGCAGTAGCGCTATTTATCTATTTGATTTTTATTTTGTAATAATGCAAGTTTTCCTTATATTATCCGATTTGAAGTTTTGATATGCTTTGGTTTGGCTTGGCTCAGTATTATCTCATAAGGCAAAAAAACATCAAATGCAATTTACTTTTAAGGTAAACTATGGTTTCCAAATCAAAATATTTGTGCAAGTCTTTGGCTTTATTTAACTGCGTCAGTTAAGTCCACCTCTATGCATTTCTTTTTTGAAATTCATTTTCTTCATTCTTTACTTGAACATTTAATCAAAAATTTAATTTTCTGTTATACTAATTTTTTGTCTAATTGCTTTTTGTATTTTAAAAAAAAATTTTACACTCATTATTGGTTTTTCTCCCTTCTTTTTCTAAAACATTTGTTTTTGTTTACATATACTTATAAAATAATATGGTAACGCGGCTTCCAATTGTGTTTTGTGTACGTTTTTTTTCGGACTTTTTGAACCGAAAACAGGAATAACCCATCATTTTGCCCAGCCCCCAAAGTTCTGGTTATTGTAACATGTATTGCTTCTGGAATTATAATTTACATAAAATATTCGAAAGCAAAGTCAAACGAATGCCTAGTGTCTTTGTAGAACGTGCTAAAGTACTCCCGATATAATAGTGAATCCATTTAGGGAAAAGTATATACATTCTATTTAAATCGGGTTTTGTGAAGCGGTTTTCGATCTTCCCTAGAAGGCTTTAAGATCAATTCGTTGCACACTTTAAACGTAATTTTTTTCATCCGATGCTAACGAATATGAGATACTCCAAACTAACTTCATTTTCGCGGATAAGGTTTGCGATTGTAAGCTCCGTTTTCAAAAGGAAGTGGTTGACTTGAAAAAAAAGCTGAAAAATTTCTATTACACAAATGCTTTTACAAAATAGGTAACAAAAACTATGTTAGCATATCTGTCTTTGCAGTCCTCATCTTTCGAAATAGAAATGAGCTCAGCAGATCGTGACGTTAATTAAAAATAATCAAATAATGGAAAATAAGGAAACAAGGAAGGTTTTGTTGATAGTCATTTTGAACAGGCTTCTACTACTGCTACTTTTAATTTCAATATTTTACGAAAGTCTGTACAGATTCCAACTGAAAGGCGCCGACTATTTAAAAATTTATATTGTTTTCTTTCAAGTTGCTACAGTCTTTTAAACACTGTGGGTTTGTGTACAAATTGTCCTAATTTCAAGACGCTGTATATGAAAATTAAAAACATGAAGAGAGCTTTAGACGATACACGTCAAGTGTTTTGTAGCAGTTCAGAAGAGTAGAAGGTAGATAGAGAGTAGTTAGTAATTGCATAATTTTAGATTCTCGGAGTGATGTGTAGATGCAATAAATGTTTTGCTTTTTCATAATTGCTACAAACATACTTAAAAATAAATAAAAGCACTTTAAAGTTAACCATGGGTCAGCATTAAATTACTCTGCAAAATCCTACTTTTATTCATATAAAGACTTTTCAAAATAAGTGGTCGAAAACGTGTTCCGATTCTAATCATTTTTAATGATGTTTGTCGTTGGGCTAAAACGTATCAAACTTTAAGACACTATTTCAAAACATGTGGCGTGTAGGCAGAAGACAAAAAAACAAAATGGGCGAACGGACACACGAGCTAAGTCTATCCAGAAAGTGATTCGGAATGTAATTTTCCTACTGGAGGTTTGCATATAGTCCTACAAACTTAATATACATGTGTGTAAAACGGGGTGCAGATTATAATTAGGTTACGCACAGAAGTGCAGTTAGAGGAACATACTCAACGAACAAAGTGTAGTCGAAGTGAATAATATGTGAATAGTAATGGGTAAAAAACCCCCTCTTTGCCTCTAATCGATATCCATAACTATAAATTACTGCACCTTTACGTATCGACGAAGGGCTAAGAAATGAGCACGAATTCGTCTGTGTACAAAAGGAGAGCTAACGGATGTACGCGTATACATTAGCTGATAGTATAGAAGGGAATCACTTATTAATGATTAACAAGGATCATAGGATAGAAGGGATAATAAATTACACATAGTTAGTGGGCTGTAACGTAGAACTAATGGACGAAGCAGTTAAGAAACATTGTTGAAGACAACAAGTTACATATGAGTTGTTGATTCGGAAAGCGGCCTAAGTGCACAATGTCCATAAGTGCATATAACATTTTTTTTAATTAATATTAATTATGATAATTTTACATCTTTATAAAACCAAGAAGGTTATATAATTATGTCGTCCGTTATATATGTAGATGTTAAAACGTGATTAAGTCTTCTTGCAACACTAGCACGTCGTCTGATAACATGCTCGTCATGTGTAGATGGAACCTGACACGAATCGTTATTTTAGATATTACTGCAACAGTTTTTATACCACTTGCGGCACAAGATATATTAGGCTTGTGCGAATGAGTGTAACAAGCACAAGGGTTTACGATAGACCTACCTGTCTGTCCGTCTGTTCATTTGTTCGTCTGATATCTGTTCATGTAAATTTGTGTTCAAGCTATAGGTCGCATTTTTTGAGATATTTTCATATACTTTGGCATACTGATGTAATTTGGATTGGTCTACTTTTTCACTTTCAATGACTCTCCATACAACACGATATTTTAAAGAGTCTTCATATGGGAAAAATTAAAGTTTTCGAAATTTCTCGACAGAAGTGGCTAAATAATAATATTTTGGCATTCAAAATTGGTGCGAAAACGTTGGACCAGCTTCAGCTATTTTTGTAAGCCCTTTTCCATATAATAAAAACTGGAGTTCATATAACAAAATGATCTAACTTTCAGTGCTTGATTATGAAAATTAGATCATAATAGTATTTTGAGATAATAAAAACGAATTACCAAATGTAGACCATCTCGGCCTATCTTTTTTATCCTATCCTATATAAAGACTTTCATGACAATTTTTGTTTTTTAGGCAGAAAAGTGTACGTTTTAGTGTGTTATGATAAAAATTGACCCATAATAGTAATTTGATATAAAATTGAACTCTACAAAATTTGGACCACGCACTCCTATTTTTGGAGGCTAAACTATGTAAGGATTTTCACGAAAATTATTCTTCTTTAGGGCACAAAAGTGCAAATTTTAAAATTTTATAATGAAAATCGATCCATAGTAGTAATTTGCAATAAAAATTGATTGTGCAGAACTTTGAACCTCTTGGGATCCTTACCGATTCTTACGGAAGGTAAGGTGCAAACTTTAATGTACACTTTTATAGTTGCAAGGTCATATGAAAATAGGGTGTAATTTTTGTGCTCTATGGCAAAAATAAGAATATTGTTAGATAAGATGGTATAGGTAGAGTATTTAAGTGATACTCGGCCTAGCTCGACTATAGTATTTTCACTTGTGTTTCGATTACATATTTCTGTTTTCAAATTACTTTCATTACGTGTTACATTAATTTCATAGGAAAACGAATAGTGGTTATATTCTCTCTTGGCGTAGAAGAAGAAATGAGAAAATTGTATTAATATTGTGAAGGAAACTGACAAAGAACGAATAGAGAAAATGTGAAATTAACTTTTACTTGACCTGTAATTAAGGATATGCCTGTAGTTGTAGTTATTTTTAGCTGACATTCGAAAAGAAATGTAAAAGAAGAGAATGTAGAGAATACCCGCATTTTTGTTAGGTCGAGATGGGTTGTATAAAACGAATATGGTACATTTTTAATTACAAGAAAATAAAAAAAAGGAAAAAAAAAAAACAATAATTGTTCTATTTTTGCTCATTTCATTCTTTTTACTTCTGGTGACAATAATACATTGCTGTTTCTCCAGTGGCCTAACAATTAAACATCGACGTACTTTGTGTGGTCCCATGTCAGAGGGCTACGAATCACGAGCACTGCCAACCGAGTACAAAGAAGACCACGATAATCACCGTAATCAGCAAGTGTACAGTGCTTCGCCTGTTAAAACTGTGGACAAAGCCAATGAATCAGGTACGAGCGCACTTAGGAGACTTGTATAAAATAAATCTTTTATTTTTTCACTAATTTTTAAGTTTTAATTTTCTTCATATTCGATATACAATGTTATCTCTTGAAAATTTTCAATTTTCTCTCAATTACAAAAAAAAAAAAAACAAGTAAACGGGAAAATAAGTTAAAAAAGTGAAAAAAGAAAAAAGGAAAACTGTGTACGTGATAAACTGTTAGAGCACGTAGTGCTTTTTTAAATCTTACTAGCTTTACAAAATGTAATGGGTTTTCTACTATCACTCTATATTTCCTGTTTGGTTATGCTTTCCCATACTTAGAAATGTACGAGATTTCCCCTTATGCAACATTTAGTGTTAATGGCGGTCGCACTGGGGCGCCCGCTAAGACATCAACACGAGGCATGGCTGCCTCTCCTTTAGATTATACAATGCAATTTAAGACATTCGGTCACCCGGAAGGAGAAAATCTTAATGCCACCGCTTATCCTTTATTGCCATCATCCGGTTTCGGTCACATCAAATCGAAATCAAGTTGGCACAAACAGCGTTACTATAATACAGACGGTAAAAACTATTTTAGAAAACGTTAAAAAGGGATACAAACAATGGTGAATTTCTTTCCCCCCAAATAGATGATTCCACTTTAAGTAAATCTTTAACTTTGGTGGCTGGTTCTCAAACGGGTCATACAAAGAAATCTGGTCGGTCTGATGGTGGCCGCAATAATAGCAAATCAGCTGGGGGCACCACTGGAACGACCAGTAGTGCGGGGGCCGGTGGTGGGCATTGTGAGTCTGAATCGGATACTAGCATTAGTCCTAGTACTGAATTTTCAAATATGCCTACCTATAGAGTTCCTTGTAAATCATCACGCAACTCGGACGGCCGTAGTGGAGTAGGTGCGTTTTCTATTTGCCTTTCAGTTTAACAAACCATGTAGCGTAAGTTCGTTGTGTGTGTCTTCTCTCAATAGATATGTTTAGGCCAGATTCATCTACTGAATCAAATAATGATCAATCCTCACCGGTAGAAAGGAGAGCCAATTCGCAACGTTTTACCGCTGGCAGCGGGGCTAGCGGAGGCAAAGATAATACGACTAGTTCTACTTCGTCATCATCAGCTGACAAACGTGTTCATCCACGAAATCGTAAACATCAAGGCCAGCAACAGCAATCGCAAATTATTGTCAAAGATTCGTTGGAGCGCCGTTTACGTTCTGGAAGTAACAACAGGTAGTTCAGGTACCTAAACCCCAAACTCCAAAAAAAAAAAACGAAAAAAAAAACTAAGAAAAAATGAAAAGCTTGAATTTTATACTACATAACAGTAATAACAATAACAACCAAACATTGGCCATTGATTTTACGGAAAATGGATGTTTGGGAAATATTATGGAATATATATTGTTATATATATAATATATGCATATAATATATATGTGCAGTCAAGTCTCCTATAACGTAGTGTTTTTATAATGCGATTTTCATATAACGCGGAGCGAAGATAGCAACAGTTCTTCTAAAATACGGTCGCCTTGCCACGTGTTTTTCGTACAAAAACAAACAGCTTGAATAGTTTACCTATGACTACACTTATTCGAAGCGTGATAAACTTGAAAATTGAGAAAATTTGTTTCTATATAAAGAAGTCTGGGTAGAACTTGCTTTTGCAAACTGAGTAGGATTATCGGCCAAGTAAAACGTAAAAGGGTAGACTACAAATGTTTGACAACGACGATCAGTGATAAAACAGTCTAATCTCCCACTTCTATTATAAAATTTTATTTATTAACCGCATCAATCGCAAGCTGGTTTGAGTTAAGAAACAGTGTATCCGTAGACCTGAGTAACATTTCGTGTTAAGAACGCAGTTTTTATGTAGCTTTGAATAAGTCAGATATATATATATATAATGTATACATTTCTGAGTTGCGAGTGTCTTATAACATGGTGTGTTTCTCATAAGTCAGGTTCCATAGATTTGAATTAATTTTGAACACCATTACACATAACATGATTTTCATAAAACGCGATAAGAATTAATCGCATTATAGGCGACTTGACTGTGTATTTGTCATATCTTATAACTATAGATTATGCGTCCAAAGTTGGAAAAATTTTTCGTATTTTGCCTTTTTGGCCTAAGAAATTGTTTAGAATTGGGCAACAATTCGTTTAATATCTGATTTAGGTTACTATTAACTTATATAGTTTACTATGCGGATTTTTCTATAGATACCATTATTTTTCCCTGTATTTTATAATTTTTTTAGTTTAAACAGTGAAATTAACAATTCAGAAACATCAGCCTCTATAGCTGCGACCATTGCAGCGATGACCGGGGTGAACGGCAATATGGGCTTTCGTCCACCCACTGGTTTTATGGATTCACGTGAGTTCAGTGAAGCCGAATGTGATCACGAACAACGGGCTTTGGACTTGGAAGTACAACGAGTTATGGAAAATACCGATGGTCAGTTGAGTAAAGTTGACAGAGAGGAACTCAGCTCGCTATTAGCGCGATATCATGAAAAGAAGGAACAAGAACGACAAGAGTTTACTATACACGTATAGGACGATGTTCAATGTGCAGACGAATGATGACCGGCACTGGGGACGAGTAAGTGATGTAGTAAGTGGAGAGAAAGAACAATTGAAAGTATAAAAGAAGAAACCTCGTAAAAATGATAAAACAAAAGTAGTTCAATAAATAAATAAGCATAAGTAGGTCAAAAGCAAGAAAAATGAAGAGAAATGGACATATTTTTCATTTTATTATAAATATAATCCATTACATGAAAGGCACGTTAACTTGAGGAAGTGATAGATGATAGGAATTTTTTTTTATTCATTAAGTTTTTAAAAATTTAATCGACCTATGACATTAAATTAACCTTAAACTAGATATTTCTACGATCATAAATGAAATTTTAGAAATCATTTTTGACCTGTAAGTCTAGTCTGATTTTGAAAACGAGGAGCAATCCTCTTTTTGTTACCCACCAAGAATAGCAGCGTCCAGACTGTTAAATAAGCTCCTATTAATTGCTTATATAACTATTTTCGCTTGCTTAGGAATAGGTCTGATTCTTGCCTATTGCAATATGAACTCAAACAAATGAAGAAAACGTTCATCTTTTCTCCTGCACAGATTTTAAACATAGCTAAAAATTGATAAGAATTCATAGCAGGTTTTTTTCGTTAATCATGGGCTCGTTAACAAGCCTAGTATCTTGTGATAATATCAACTGATACAGGGGCAGGGGCAATTTTTATGTTTTCTGGCAATATAAAATTGTGCTAAGAATATACTTACGCCCATCATCAAAAGACATTCATGGGACATTATTCTTGATAATCGTAAGATTCTGAGTCCACGCTGATCACCTATCTGTATGCTTGTCGTTGAAAAGCTCGCGGTTGCACAACTTGAAATAATTACAATTTTGTTTACACCCTTTTAGCCGATGATCACAACATATCTTCATGAAATGGGCGTGTTCAGTGCATCAGTGCTTTTTTATTGACTATGTTACGTTCACAAGTACTTCCGCGAAAAGCAAAAAACAATTAGTACCTCTTTTAGCTGGCGGCCATTAGACCAATTTGCAACATACATTAGTCTGTTTCATAACCACTTTCAGCCTATAAACGATATTAGTTTTAAACCTTAAGCTAAAAATAGCGTTGATCGCTTTTGTCATTTTGAAGTGATAGTCTATGTTTGCAGAGGGCGTAAAAGAAAGGTACCCACTTTAAAGCGAGTATGGCTTTATTAATAGTTTAAAGTGACTTTAGTTTCATATGGCATTGTGCTATGCCTATTGGGTATCAAACAAGAACTTGTGGAAGTTTTGCTTACCTATTTCAATCTTAACAATTTTAACAGTGACAAGTCACGATCTAACCAGCACTAAATGTATAAATAATCATAGCACTATTTTCCAAAGAGATTTTTAAAATCAATTCTTAAAAAAATAGTTCTTATTGATGATAGAAAAATTACTATTTGCTGGCAGTCATATAAACGATGTACCAAAATTTATGCAAGATTTGAATTAAATAATTGTAATCTTTTTAGTGAGTCATAGAGTATGCAGGACACGATTATGTGTGGAATAGCACATCTTCTATCGAAATTTTTCATAATCATTTTTCGTAAATGTGGCTGAATCTCGTTGATGTAGCCTGGAATCTTTTCCTTTAATGTACGGTTGGTTGTGGGCTTCTTGGCGTTGACTCTCACTATTTTTCAATTACTCTCTTCACAGTTGACGAAATTAAATCAATATTCCAACACTATTTTATACAAAATTTCAAACTGTAACCGCCAAACTTTCATTATTTTTGAAATACAGTCCCATCTGCCTGGTAGGAGATAATTTGTGTCTGTTAAAGGCCGGTACTCGTACGTGTTCAATCCGCTGCCATTGAGTTGTCAAACGCGATTTTTGGCCTTTCGCGCGTCTACTCTTGATACCCACAATATTGTTGTCAAATCTTCGGCTTACTTGGTTATCGGCACATTCATCATTTTTTAAGCATTAATCTCAACACTAATTTTCACTGTTCTTTTCCAAAGTAAAGATCTTAAATATGATCCCAAAAACGAAAAAAGGGTTAGGGAATACAGTAATCGATCGTTTTAAATCAATAACTTGGTTCAAAATTTGGGTGTCCCGCACATCACCAACCAAGGAGGTTAACAAGCCTTTGAGACATCAATGCAAATGTACTAAGACCGCAATCTTAATTAGAATTCGTATACTCACTTAAAATATGTAATATAAAATTCTTGAATGTATCTCCTGTAAATATGTTATACATAAAATAAGTCAATCTCCATTACCCATAAAACATACATTAATTGAATTTACTCATATTGTTACAGTGCAATTAGTGTTATCTCTCTTGTTTTTTAGTTTACGTGTTTTTTTTTTTTCCATTTTTTTTGTGTGTGTTGCGTTTTCGTTTTTGATGCATATCTGCCGTAATTGCATTTGATATGCAAATGATTATTTGTAAAATTTTTGCATAGAATTTGTAATAGAAACAATATCAACTGTACTGTTGTGCATTTAAATTAATTATTGAAAAAAGAAAAATTAAATAAATAAAACTTATATAGAAATTATATTTAAAAATAAAAAACAAAAATAAGAAGCAGATAAAATGCATTTGTAATTAGAAAATTAAATATCACATAAACAAACACGTACTACTCTCACATATATTTAAATATAAACCACATTTACACGGCGTTTCAGTGCCGTCTGTTAAAGGTTGATAGTGTGCAGCAAATGCACGCAATCATACTCTTACGTGAACATTGGGTGTATCAATAAAAAATGATAAGATCATGATATAAGGTCGATGTTTTATATAAAAAACACATGGTTTTCGTAAACGCAATGGATGCATCACACTGCCAATCACAGAGATTTTTCGAATTAAAGCCTTAACGATTATATGAATTCCAAGTTGAGCTTATATTTTAAAGAAAAAAAAAAATAAAAAATATCATATGTTTCATAATTCCTAAAAAAAAAAAAAAATCTAGTATTCCAGAACAAAAATATTCAACCCTCGATGCAATGTCGTCATTTTTCATATACTTAGCAAGTCTCCCCACCGGCAAGATTTGCCAATCATCCTTTTAAGAGAACCCAATGAATACATTAATAGCTCAAGGATTAAATTTGACACAACATTGACAGCATTTTTTAATCACTATAAACCCATATTTCGAAAAATGTTTCCTAAATCATTAGCACACACAACCAACGAGTTCCGGAGGACTGCTTTTGTCCGATCACTCATAAAACATTAAAAATTATTTTTTTTGTTGAATAAATTAAAATGTGCAATCGTATCATATGTGTACACCCTTTACAGAGATGCATAAAAAAAAAGAGAGAAATTATTAATTAAACTTTAGATAATCAGAGAACGTGTAATGTAATACTAACAACCAACAACCGCAACAATTTTAAATAAATAAGAATAATACATCATAAAAAATTAAAATAATATAAAATAACTATGTACAATTTGTACTCTAGCTTGTAAAATATAATATACACACAAATAGTTATGTAAATGCATTTATATGCAAAAAAAAAAAAAAAACAAATGACAAAAAAACTATAAAATGAAAACAACTAACAGACACAGAAGAAGATATTAACAAGTGAACAAATATTATACATTATGAACATATGGGAAAAACAAAAAAAAAAAAAAAGACAAAAGAAAAAAAAATAATCAAATAATAATAAAGTGAAACAAATAAATCAAATCAAGAATTAAATATAAAAGTTGAAAAAAAATTTTATTGAAATGAAAATTTACAGAAAGGTTCTTGAGGTTTGTACATATACGGCAGGAAACAGATTATTGTGTCCATAAGAACAGAATTTGCTCATTTATACCCACTTCCAATAATTACACATCTAAGTGACTTAATGGAGCCGAAACATAATCATTTTGTTGTCGCTTCCGTAGCAGGTTGAAATAAACATCGCAGATCCTTCATTGCTAATCGGTCTCAGAAACAATGTAGTATTTGGGCATTAACGCGTCACCGGACGATCCCCTTGCATATGGATTTCATGTTCCACGTTGTTGTCAAAGCAACCAAACATTTCCAAAAAGTTTTCAAACGACATAAGAAAATTTAAGAAATAACCCACCTGGCAGGACTGGTGGTATATATGTGTGTTTTAAGCTTAAACGCTTACATAAAATATTTTGATAAAATTTTCAAGCAAGTGAAAATCGAAAGCTCATCATCTATATATATTTTCGATCAGCATAAAATTTGACTTGGTTGTATCTTTTCTTCAATTATCCTATTTGTAAATCGCTTTTAGAAAAACTTATTAAGAGATAGAGAGCGTCACACTGAGAAGTGCAAAGTGTAAAGTAAAATCTCACAGTGCAATTTTCGTAAGGTTAATTTTGTCCGTCCAAGTACTCACTGATTCATCTATCCGTTCGTCCATCTCTCTCTCAATTGTGCGTATCTGTTCTTCATTTATACTTACGATCATCCATGCATTTGTCTATTCTTTCATTTTCTTACTTCCTCCCGTTCTTGTATACATCAATAGGTCTGTCTACTACCATTGGAATCGCCAACTTCGCAACAGTTAATATCGAGACAGTCACGGTGTGAATGCAATCATAGCGCTAAACTTATTTCTAAGCAAGTAATAATACTAAAGTGGGCATGGCCCGGCGTTCGTCTAACACAGTTTGTCATGTAACGACTATTCAAAATAACACTATATGGGCAATAGTCGAAAAAATGATCCGATCCCAACGATTTTCAAGAGCATTCGTCCTTGGTGTTAGCAAGTTTTATCAAAATATCGCAAAAATTAGAGTCCCCTGTACGCTGAACACAAAAAGACAACACGCAAAGACGGGCGGACAAACAGGCAAAATCGGAATAATAAAAGTTGCGTCCTTTTTTAGTCCTTCCGGGAGTCGCATACATCTGCGCAAACTTAATGTACCCTATTACTATAAGTAGTGCATGGTACAAAAACATGCTTTATTACTCATAACAGGTAGGGTTTAAAGAATCTTAAATAATTAAAGACTTCTGCTTGTACAAATATTGAATGCAATCAAAGCTGTCCCAACGGTCACTTTGCCGACTTTTGCAACATGGCCTTGCTGCACCAAAAAAATAATTAGTTAAATTAATATACCTTTGTATCGCAAGCGGTCATCGCTTAACTGGGTGTCCATATTGCTGTCGGTATTACACGGGTTATGCTTATTCTATTATCAAGCTAAGTTGGTTGAACAATTAATTATAGTGTGAAGTTTAATTGTGCAAAAAGGCTGCGTTCTGAAGTGAATGCTTTGGAGAAGTTATTTTATTGTATGTTATCTATCTGTCTCTGAAAAAGATTTCAGTTACTATCTCTATACAAATGGATCAGTGATGTTAAATGAACAATTGTAGGGTTCTTGGTCAGAACACGTTACCAAGACACTTGTTTGCTTGCTTCTCCTAAGCAAAGTAATATTCGCAAAATATTTCCCCTCTATGAAAAACAATCACCTATCATTTACCTTAATGAATAATTCTTAAATTACCTTCCCTAATGTGACACAGTTCTCCTAAGCACTGCAGGATGCTATTTTAAATTTGTTGTAAAGAATGCGAATGAACAGACGAAAACTGTGCGAGTTCGTTTACGAGTTGTTTGGAAAAATCGAGAAAAACGTGCTTAAATTTTTGTTGTTTTATTACAACAAATTTC